AAAAAAATATATTCTTGGGATAATTCTGTTTTTAGAAGTGTTACAAAAAATGTGAGAAAATTAAGAAGGTCCTCAACATTTTTCATGAACTTTTTAAACAGTGAAGCAAAAACTACTGCTAGTATTTTATACTATCAAATTTTCACTAATATCCAAGAAAAAGGTAAAAAAAAAAAATCCTTTTTGTTCAAGTTTCAGGGACTTCAAAAAATATCTTTTCTTGATCTCAAAAGTTGCTGGATTTGCTGAAGACGGTGTTCCTGTCAGGTATTCTTCATTTCTAAGCCAAAGAGAACTGAATGCATTCTGAATGCTGAAAAAGTCAGTCACATCTGTGAATTAAAGGGAATAAAGCAAACATCAATTTTTATTACCTTTCCATGAACAAGAAATGCGATTCAGATAAACTATTTTTTATCTGGAAGATCACATCCATTTAATGCTACATTATGTGCTGCTAGAAGGGACACACAATTCAATTTTCAGATAGTTTATTTTGCTACAGTAAAGTCACCTTAAACATTTCCCTCTGCAAAAACCCTGGAAGCCCAATGAGTGTTTCCTAAATACACAACACGTCGCTTGGGGCAAAAGACTCAAGGCAGGAACAGCTACTATTTAATGCTCAGACTCTTCCTACTGGGTGAGGGAGACTGCAATTATTCTGCTAGTAAAGAACACAACAATCAAACCGGGTTAACACTGTAGCACACATTTTTATAGTTAGCATGTTTTGCAAGATGCTGACTTTGGATGTGTAACACCCTGCTCCATATCTTACATAGTTCAAATGAAAACCAGGCACTCACTGATGCAGGCACTCCAGCTCAGAAGGCAGGTCACAACCTACATAGACTCTGTTCTTTAGACTGTACTCTAGTAGTGCACAGAAACAGGGATCCTGCAAGAAAAGATTCCGCCGAGCAGCATGAGATGAATAAACAGAGTAATGGGGCACAAGAGTGGAGAAAATTTTGAAGGACTTTTTTCCTCTCAGAAACAGAACTCTGCAAACAGTACAAGCATGAAGTTACACGAGAGGAAAATTAAATATAGTTGCCTAAAGCTGTTTGTGCTGTGTGTGGGTGGAGGAAGAGAAAACTTTCTATTCTGACCATTTCTGGATACTGCTGTCCTCCCCCATATCCGCAAGGACAGAGAACAGCTTCTCAGAAGGGAACATCTTATTTGTGCAGGAGACCACAGCTAACCCCAATTCATTTTTCAGGGGAATGAGAAGCCTCAAGTATAGCTCATCGAAGAAAGATTTATCTAAACCTCACATTAGCTGTGAAAAATGCAGGGACTCCTTGACTCAGCAGCAAGTTGACTAGCTTTTTGACTACCTTAGCATCTAATGTAGATTTAATTCTTTTCCTAGCCCCTTAACTGGAATATATATCCCCCTTACACACACACACTTCAGGAATGACAAGTATGAAACATGCAGCACAAAATGCCTTCATCCTAAGAAAGGCGATGGCCACATTCAAGGAGACTAGTGACCTGGCAAGCTGTTATTATAACAGGCAGCCATCACTTATTTTCCTTCATTTTAAAAATGAGGTAACTACATTTCATGAATAGTTCTAATGGAGTAGCAGGAGTCCAAGTTAGACCTGTGTAGAGATATTCAGAACATCCGTATCTGACTTCGAATGGTAGCAGTGAGGTGCTCTCAGGCACACATCACCCCTGAAATTCTCTTTGAGCCTGTAGTTCTATTGCATGGGTGCGTAAACCATCCACATTCAGAGAAGCTAGTAGAGATCAGATACTCTCAAAAGCTCCATCACATCAAATAGACCCCAAATCATTTAACGTGGCAAATGCCACATGCAGCTCAAAGATTCAAAAGCCACTTACTTTTACAAGAACATGAGGATTTCCCACCACAATCAGCAAAGCTTTTGCCCTGGTAACTGCTACATTAAATCGCTTCGGGTTAGAGAGAAAGCCCAAACAGCTTTTCTCATTACAAAAGGAGCCTTCGTTAGATCGGACCTAAAATTAATTATTGATAATTTTAGAAAAAGAATAATAAGAAAACATTTTACCTATTCATAGTGTAGGTTTAACATGATTTGATTATGGCAGCAAGCTAATGCTTAGTGTGAGCAATGGGCTTCATCATCCAACTTCCATTCCATCCAACTGAATTCCCCCCTCGGTGGCCTGTCCTCCAGGAGCCTGGAACAACCACGGAGGTGGCAGGCACTACCTCTACTCTGGGACACTCTCTGCTGAAGGGCTGTCCACTGCCATTTAAAAAACACTGCGTGGCAACAATACTTCCTAGTGAAGCAGAGACCAAATCTGTGTTTTCCGTAGAAGCAGTGCCACAGTGGCAAGCCTTGCAGGCCCTACGGCAGAGTCAGAATTCACAAGGTGCCTTTTTGCAACGCCTTCAGTGGCCTGGAGCCTTGAGCCTGCTCAGAAGGAACTGCTGCTGAAGCAAACAGTGGGCTGTGACTGCTGCACAATGTAACTGTTCATTTATTCCCTCTGTATTTGAGCCCAGCTTCATACTAATGCCAAACAAACAGCAGTAAAGGACTACTCAGCTTCTAGGCACAAGTCAGCACTGGTGACTGGGAAACTGCCAGCTGAAGGCAATTAAGTGATGACACTCAGGCTGAAGGGAAAGGATATAAGAATCTACAACAACTTCAGTAAGTCAAACAGCAATTACTTTTTATTATTATGATTTATGCAGTTCTCTCTCTCTCTCTCTAGCAAAAGGTACATGATCTGCAAGAAACTCCATCTGTAAAATAAATTAGTATAAGTATCTACAAAATATCTACAAAGACTTAAAAAAAAATCCTACAAATTTAGCAATTTTGTGATGGTTCTATATTCCTAATAGTTTTTTTTTCTCCCCCAAATACTGTGACAGACTACTGACAAAAATATAGGCTTTTTTTTAATGCCCCATATCACAAAAGAACCAAAAGGAATTTAGAGACCAACAAAAACTCGAAGCAGAACCGCAGCAGAATACATACCGTGGATAAGATGATAACCAAGTACTCCTGCCCTTGGAACTCTTCTACTGAGCCAACTTTAATATCCTCCAAATCAATACTTCTCAGAAGAAATCTTATTTTTTCCACCTACCAGAAATATGTTTGAAGGAACTTACTTCAAAACTGAAAATGCTTTAGGTACAAATACATGATTTAACATAAAAATATGTTAAATCATATATATATATATATATAAACATATATGACATATGTCTGGTATTTTTTTTATCATCAGATGTGGCAAAGCAAATGTTTTCCTCCAAACCATGAGAGGCTACTGAGGAGATTCTACCTAGGCTTGGCAGCTGCATGAGGCGAGAGGGAACCTGAAGCACCCTCCAGAAACGGGAATGAGCTGGAACCACAGGCACTGCAGGGCCCAGGAGGCTGCTTGGGGTGAGCACATTGCCAGCTGGAAAGAGCTGCCTGGAAAGGGGACAGTAAAGGCTTCAGGACATCTCTTGTGCCTGGGAAAGCCAAGCATTCCAGACAGTGACTCCTGTCAGACCCGCGTTCCCATCATATAATGAAATGTTTTGGAGCGGACATTTACTATCCTTGCCCAGCATCAGAGGCAGATGAACAATTTCATTGTATTTAAGGGCATGACCTGTTTTAGTGAGTGCAAGATACTCAGTCACATAAATACTGTATAAATGTTTGAAAAGTAGCTATCAAGCTATAAATGTGGGCAGGTGCAAGTGCCCAAAGAACGGAATCTGCAAGGGCAGAGCTCTCACCTGAAAGGGTTTACGGATCCAAATGGAAGTACAAGCTTCTACTGTGGACAGCTAGGAAGTCCTAACTCACAGAATCACAGAATGGTTGAGTTGGAAGGGCCCTCTTAGAGATCATCTAGTCCAACCCCCCTGCTCAAGCAGGGACACCTAGAGCACGTGGCACAGGGTCACATCCAGGCGGGTTTGGAAGATCTCCAGAGAAGGAGACTCCACAGCCTCTCTGGGCAGCCTGTTCCAGGGCTCTGTCACCCTCACAGGAAAGAAGTTCTTCCTCACATGGAGATGGAACTGCCTCGGTTTTAATTTGTACCAGTTACCTCCATCTTGTCACTGGCTACCACTGAGAAGAGTTTGGCCCCATCTTCTTTACATTCTCCTCTCAGGTATTTATACGTATTGATCAGATTCCCTCTCAGTCTTCCTTTCCCCAGGCTAAACAGGCCCAGCTCGCTTAGTCCTTCCTCACACAATAGATGCTCCAGTCCCTTAATCATCTTTGTTGCTCTATGCTGGACCCTCTCTAGAAGCTCCATTTCCCTCTTGCACTGGGGAGCCCAGAACTGCACATAATACTCCAGCTGCAGCCTCACTAGAGCTGAGGAGAGGGGCAGGATCTCCTCCCTCGACCTGCTGGTAATGCTCCTCCTGATGGAGGCCAGGATCCCACTGGCTAATTCCTTCAGCATCCTCAAAGTCACCTACTACACTTCCTTTCCATTCCACTCTTCAGTACCAAGTGACTGACAGAACTGGACCACTAAATTACACATATTCTATTTGTATCAACTGGGGATATTAGAGTGAGTTACACTATTTATGCCCAGTAACTGTAAATTGTATATCTGTCTCCAACTGCAAGTAGATCTCCAACTACTCACTTACTGATTTTTACAATCAAGCAAATCCGAGTATCTTCACTTTCATCTTTCACTAGGATAAACTTCAGTGGAAATATCATTAATGGAGTGATAAAACACTATGTAACATGGCATACTGTGAAGTTTGAGGTATGTCCCCCTGCCTTAACGAACCATAGCGACTATGTAAAACCATAGGATAAACGCAGTAAATTTCAAGCCTTTAGAAACCAGGTACCTGCTTCCGATAGGGCGCCATCACTCCGATATCAGTCACCGACACGGCGCTGTGCTCATTTTTAGCGAGGTGGCAGCAGTACCGCATCACCTGAACTGCTTCCGTCGGATTGAACCATGAGGGACTGTGACCTTCCCGTGTTTCCCTGCCCTGCGTGAGGGGACAGGGAATTAGAAGATGAAAACCAGGTATGACAAGTGACAACACAATTATACAGCCTTAACACCATAAGGATGGGTGTGGTAAGGGCACTCGATGCAGTGATACAATATTACCCCAAGTTTCTCTGCTATAGATTCTTCCCAACAAACATGCTCCACTAACATTCTCTGTAGGTCTTTAGATGAAAAATTTCTAAGGTGACAGTGCTCTAAATATGTGACACAGGAATTACAGGTCTACTTGGAAAAACAGGGGTTAGCAGCCTAGCACCTTGTGCCAGGCAGAAGAGTGAAGAAACAGGCTTCTCCAGCAAAAGGTAGATCGGATATTATTTTACTAGTTTATTGCAAGACTAAAGAGAATGTTTTAACATGGTATTTTTTTTCCTGTTTGCTTTCAGGCTAGATCCTCTAGCTGCTCTAATCCTATAATTTTATAGCTTATATTCATTCCAACATGGGAAATTCACAATAAAAGGACAATATAAAAACAGCTGCCTGGAGCCCCATCCTGATTAAATTGTTCTGTTATGAACTTAAAATTTACAATCAAAATGTCTCTAAAATACACTGTAGTAGGCAGATGCTCAAGTTCCTAGGATACATTCAAGAAGTATGACTTCTGGGTCATCTACTTTTTTTCCTTTTTAAATATGCAAAGCTTAGTCTAAAGAAAACCCTTGTCTGTGTCAGCCAATTTGCATCAGGTCTCATTATCCACACCTTAACTACGTGAGCATTTTACATACCCGTATTCCATGAAAAATTAATGGAAAGCCCTTCCTGGGCAATTTTTCCCAATGCAACAGAGATGTTACTACAGAAGTGTCTGCACAAACTTCCAGTTCTTTATGATAAAACAATTTAGATGGCAAGGTAAGCAATGCAGAGTGTGACCTGTAATTCTTCACAAGCTTTGTGATCTGCAAAGACAAAACCCCAAATCTGTAACTTAAACACACAGTTATTCATGGGGCTTCATAGTACATGACTCTACTGCAAAAAAAGCTACACACAGAGGTTACTTTTGGAACAGCTTTTATTTGTCTTTTTATGTTAAACGTGGAAGCTGTGCTGCTGCTTCTGTGGAGAATTAAGGTACAAAGACAAAGGTATAGTAAGTCTAGCCAGTGATGATGAAAGGAAAGTTTAAGCCAGTATTTACAATTATGTGTTGTATCGTATTTGACTTATTTTGCTTAAAAATAGAGAACTTAAGAAATAAGAACAGAGAAGAGCTTTAATATGTTGAAAGGACAGGTATTTAGAGTATATATTTGAAATCCTTGAGCCTTCCTGGAGAGACAAGAAAACAACAACAACAAAAAAAAAAAACAAAAAAAACCCCACACCTCTAATGGGATTTACTACTATGTACTAGGGAGTAAAAAGGTGGTAAGGAAACTGGTAACAGGAAGCACAGTTTCTCCTATGATTAATCTGAGGGAGAAAAAAACAAAACAAAACACAAAACAAAACAACCCACCACACAGAAGATTTACTCACCAGCAAAGGATTGTATGATCCATAGGCACGAAAAGCATCTTCATCTCTCAGATATAGAGATCGTGACATCAGTCTTTCCAGCAAGGATATATTCAATCCAAAAGCCACTGCAACTTCAGATTTTATTACTGGCCCTAACTGTTTTGGATCTCCAACAAGAACTATCTGTGTATGCAGTTAAGAAGATTTTGTATTAAAAAAAAATAGTGATTAAAGGTTTAGTTTTTTTTGTGAAGGTGCTCTAGGCCCAGAAAAATACAATAATTAAAAATAGTTGACTTGCATCTTAAAACGTGTGCTTTGGTAGTACAGGACTCATATCATTGAATATGTAAAAAATATTTTATATTAAGCTCTAAATATTTAAGTGTGGGAAATGGATGCTGTGTCTAAAATGTAAAAAATAATTTAGTAAAATCATGCATTAATAGAATCCATTACAAGCATTCAGCTTTTGATGTTCATTACCAAGAAATGAGAGTTTGCATAGTAGATTATGAAGTAATCAGAAATCATTTGACATAGTTCATAATGATAAAAAGTCAAAATTTTTATGCTTTCAGAAGATGAAGCTAAGAGAAATACCTGTCCATTAGCTTCGGAAATCAACCCAAGAGGAATCAGGCTCTCTGGTTCACTTGCTTGCCCTGCCTCATCCAAAATCACATGTGTGAAGTGTCCAAGCCTAGAGTTAAACAACATGACCCAAATAGGGCTGTTTTCAGATTATTTCATTCTGCCACCCCGTGGCTGGCCTCAGCAATTACAGAGGCCTCTTGGCTCCAGCCAAGTTGTCTTGCACCAATACAACTCCACATAAAGTTCCAGCACAGAAGTTAGCAGAAGCAGCCTACTAAGTTTAAGCCCTCATCTGTAATTTCTTTTACATACTCTGATATACATAACCCCTGCTTATCTTATAAGCTTGCTGAAACAAAACGTTTTAATGCCATTTAGAAGATTCCTCCTTGTTCTCAGTTTCTCTGGCTATTTAATTGGAATAATGCACTTGGTTTGGCATGGACAATCCCTTAGGCTCTTTTAGTGCAAAACAATGTGTGCAAATTAGATTTCAAAAGTGTCATTTTGTAGAGTTAAAACCATAAGCATACAACAATCTTTAGTTAAGAGCACTTTACGTGATTTATTTTTATAGCTAGTAAAGGTGACTTAATGAAAAGTTAAGTACAATATGATTTCAGTATGATCTCCCAAAATGCTTTTAGGCCAACACTGTATCAAGAATTTTTAATGTTATTTAAGATAATTCTTAAATTTACTATAGAGGAAGTCTCAGCTGAAACTTTACAAAAACCAAGAATTTCAGTAAGAAACTATCCAGACTCGGCAATGTCTAAATAGAGGCACATTAAAAAAAAACAGCATTAAAACAGCTTAATTTATAGTACGGAGGAAATCTTGTCTGGATTTTACAAAACCTAACGTTTATATCTCAGCAATATTCATATAAAATGTACTGTACCGTGTTCCGGTTTGATAAAACAGCCCTGCACTGCTGCATGTGGTAATTATTATCCTGAACCATAATGCTTTCCAAATATCTTCACCATCTTTGCAGTAAGGCTTCACTATATCATCAATTTGCTGCAGAAGCAATAACAACGACAAGTAAGTTTGTAAAATAAGACACCACTCAAGCTAAACATTTTCATATGAATCAAAAAACTGACTACTAAAACTTCATTCTAGAAGTTAAGAAATTCTTAGGTTTGGAGCCATTCATTTGCTGAAATGAGTTCTTCACAAATAATTTGGAGAGGTAGAGGCTTGACTTGAATAGCAGATTTGGGGATTGTTTCACAACTGAAAGAATTTTATTGCATTAAAAATCCCCACTGACATCATGTGATAACTAGTAGAGTTAAGCACCAAGAAACAAGCTCAGATCTAGGCTTGTACAGCTGCATTATGAGCTATGATAAACAGTTTCCAGTGACTTTCTCTGGATCCTAAACAAGGATCATCAGTCTAAGAAAGAGCAACTGTATATTATTAAAATGGTATGTTAAAATCAACATGTGAAAATGGTAATATTAACTGTAGTTATTACCTAAGTTATCTACATAGTTACCTCTGGAGACCTGCAGCTCGCATTAACTCGGACCATGGTTCCTGGTTTTAACAGCTTGCTTTCGTGCAGCCGCAAGCAAATTAGATCTGTTGCAGTATTTGACGGTGCACAGACCAAGATACGGCTGTCTGGCAAAGCATAATGTATCTACATTTAAGACGACAGTCACAGAAAAGGATATTTAGGTAAGTAGTCAAGGCTTAAGCAAGTAGCAATAACTCAAACATACATCCATGTAATTTTTTATAGCTATTGTATATAAAATTCTGAAGAGTTTTGAGTACAATGATCCAGTTTTCTGCAGTTCAAGAGCACCCATCTTGAGAGTCAAGACTGTTCAGAATTTGAAAGCTGAGTGTTCTCAATTGAAAATAATTCACAGTCAGCATATTAAAATATATCTGTGCTTCATAAACCTACTACGCAGCACTAGAATCACTGGTTAGATACCATTTACTAAAGCTTTAAAAATGCAAAAATATGAAGCTTTGAAAATAAGTAATTTAGAAGTTTGTTAACAATTTTATACCTATATCTTTCCTCTTTCACTGAATTATAAAGAAATATTTTGAAAGAAACCCTTTCTATCTGGAAGCAAATCATAACTGTACTTACAGAATTACTGTGTTTAATATTGAAAGAATGAGATGATTGATTTGTCTTCCACTATTACCTGTAAAATAGCTTCAACTATTGTTAATGTTTTGCCTGTTCCTGGTGGTCCAAAAAGGACATAAGGAGTTGGACGGCATTCACCAGTCAGTATCCTTTTCACTGCCAGTTTCTGATGCTCATTCAGCAGAGGATTGAAAAAGTGGCCAGATGCCTGAGGTGCCTGCTTAAGCGTCCCAGTTTCACTGACTGTAAAGTGACAGTAAAAAAGTATACATTAAAAATGACACAAAAACATTTTTAACATACACACATTAATGCAATTTAGGCTGACATAATGAACAGTTCATTTTTCAAGCAGTAACACTTGACAAAGCCCCCCAAAATTCCTATTTCGTGAAACAGCATATAGAAAATAGTCATTAAGAAGATTTCAAAAGCATATTGTGTCTTTTACAAAAAATAAAGGACAGAAAAGGACTGCAATTATGCACCAAAACATCCTATAAAACTGTATACTATAATCTAACCCACATTTGTTTTTCCTAGAGTAGACAAAAAAAAAAAAAAAGTTAAAAAGCAACTTTTCAGGGATAATAGGAGTACTAGTGACAAATGGTAGATAAGAAAACTGCTCCCGTTTCATTTAGATGGGTTTTAGCTTTTTAGGACAGTATTTTACCAATCCTTCTACAGAAGTGCCTCAGGTATTGCCAAATCATTAAAGGATTCTACTGTTAAAATGTGATAAAAATCACTCTACCAAATTAAGTACAACAATATTTTGTCACACTTTCCAGACAAGCATATAAACGACCTGTACTTTCCGAAACATTTGTCAAGTTTTTAGTATCTTTACAGAAAGAACTACCCCCAAAATGAGACACCATCGCAGGAATAAGATACTTTGTGTGACGATTACAGTCTCTTGGTAAAATACTGTCTGTGTAAAGTACAGATATTTTACAGACCACAAAACATCACACTAGCTATCTATTGAACTGAAGGTGTTTCTATGCAGAAAATTTCCAGCCAGGAAAGTTATACAGTTTCTTAAAAAGGTAGAGTTGGAGGGCATCTAAAAGCACTTAATCAGCTCTGATTTACCAAAGTAACTGTAAACCTGAGCTTAAATACTTCAATATACTTAAATATAAAGACGTATGCAAATATACCAGGTTGACTTGTTTCGGGTAGAACTGTCACCACATCTGGTATGGTCATTTCCCTTGATGCCATGCATTTTGTCTGTTTGTTCTGTAGATTTTTGACCTGAAAACATCATCAAGCTGAAGTAAACCTTAAGGTGACATGCAACTATCTTCACTAATACCTTTAAAGTTTTGGGTTTTTATTTTTGCAAATAAAATGTGATGCTATCTCATTATATATGGTATCTACTGGAAACTGAGGAAGATGGAACAGAGAAGCAAAGGATACCAAGAGCTCCCAATTTATATCTAAAGTTTCTGAAACAGGTTCAGGTGAGTTCTGCTCGGGGAGAAAACTCTGAGCTAGATACCTCCGTTTTCTTAATAATACTGATTCTAATTCAGCAAAGTGACTAGAGGTTGGTTTCTCCTTCTTGCCTGATGGCCAAACATACCATTCAGGAGTGTCTGCTGCTTGCCCAGACCCATGATGTCTTGGAAAGGCTGCAAGGCCTAACTGCCCTTCTGATTACCTCTGTTGTTTATCCCTGTGGGCATTACTAACAGCTCGAGTAAAGCAAGGCCTCAAGGTAAGATACAGCTCTAGGGCAGGCACGAGGGATCCTGGCAATGCTCTCCTCACTTCTTTGAGGTTGGAAAGGGAGTTCAGCAGAAACAGCCAATGGGCTATGCCAAGGGGCAGACCTTGAGCGACCAGCCCTTATTTTCTTCTATGACTGTGACTGATCGGTGACTGATCAGGCAGGCAAACACAACCCAGGAGCTTTAGTTCAGTGCACTGATTTCAGCAAGGTTTTTGACATGGTGTACTTACCATGGTATTATCACCTGTGAATTGAGGAACAAACCAACTGCTTGATGGGTTAGAAAACTGACTTAACTACTGAACCATTTAGATACTCTACTGAAAATTGGTCACAGACTGAGCATAACCTTACCAAATCTGCAGATAACGCAAAACCAGAAGTCATGCTGAAACGCCAGATGATCTATCACCAATCCCTACAGACCACGAGAGACTTGACAACTGAGTCAGAAGAAGACTCATGAAATTCAGTAAGAAGCAGAACAGAAGAGCTGCATGAATCAATATAGCCTGGGTATCCACCAGCCACACAGTAATTCCCATGCCCTTTTCAGGGCCCAGGGCTATTGTGGATACTAGAATTGTGTATGTACCCACAGCATATTCTCAGGATGAACTGGACAGGTTGAGATACCTTGGCTTTTTTAAATTTGGCAAGAAATTTAAAAGGCAGTCTCAATAATAATATACAGCAACTTAAATACGAATTACAAAAACCAACAGAACCAAACCTTAGTAGCAGCATACAATATAACAAGGGGCAACATCCACAAGTTTCATCTGGAAAATTTGGACTGGACATTTAAAGAAGAAGAGGGAAAGGACAGGAATCAACAGGAGGGCAGTTAAAGTGAAGCACTGACACAGGTCATCCAGGGATAGCAGAATCTCCATCTTTGGAGCAGTAGCTTAGTCATCTTCATTTGTCATAGGTTCCCCTCTCTCTGCCCCAGCAGAAAACAAATACTTTCACCATCAGAAAGCAGAACACAACTTGGATTTTTCAATGCCTTATTACAGGAGTAACAACAGCTACAATAGTAGTTACCTTACTAATCTGTAAGTATTAAACGCTTTAAGTATTTCAATAAATATTTACCTTACTTTCCTGTTTGAAACCTTGTTCAAGGCCATCATCAACAATAGAATATTCTGCTTGTGGTGACTGTAAAAGGAGCCTTTCTGGAAACAACACTTTAGAGGAAAAATGAGAAATAAATCTGAAAGCCACATAAATATTTTATACATATTCTGTTAAATATATTGCTGCTGATACATTGGCTTACTCTGAGTTGCTAAGTAGGTCTGTAAGAACTAATGTATTAGGGGGAAAGATCTGTGCGACTTCACTGTAAGCGCACAATCCATTTAACTGAATTCGTGCATTTTAATACAGCTTGAGGTAACAGGAAACACTGGCCTTTCACATAACATTCTTAGAACAGGAGACGTACATTGCTTATTGGTTGAAACTGCTCATAAAAACAGTGTAAAGCCCTCTTGTGACGGAAAACAGATGGAATGGTTCCAGTAACACATACACTGTACCTAACAGCTGCTTTTTTTTTTTTTTTAAAAAAAAAAAAAATCTAGCCATTTATGAGGAAGCCTGTCTAAAACCAGACTACAATGCATTCTTCTCAGTACGCTTCAGGAAGAATCACTACTCAGATGTGAAAGCAGAGAGACTCCCTGCAATCAAACACCTCCAGTTTAAATTTAATTAAGATACCTTTTTCACCCAGATACACAGCTTGCTCAACTGCCAACTGGCATCGCCTGCTGGTAATCCTGTTATTAGAATAGTGATTTGTGGATTAGAGTAAAACCTTAAATTTCCATAAAACACAGCCACATACACATACAATCCATTCAGTATTTTTTGGGAACTAGTGCTCACATGTACAGGCATATATATAGCAATAAAAATAATTTATAGAGGAACATTTAAGTATTAAAAAATGTTGCAGAAACGTTAATCAAAAGCTTTTGCTATGAACAATATTCTGATTAATATATCTCTACTTCATCTCAGTGGAGAGCTAGATAACCTTGTTCTCTAGAATTAAGTCTTTCAAACAAATTTCATGCAGAGCTAATTTTACAGAGAAGACTAAGCAATTAAATACAGATAATACTCCATAAATATGTTATTGTTAGCATATAAAAAAAAAAGAAAAAAAGGAAAGAAAAAGGTGGCTAACAGTAGCAACCTTTTTCATAATCTTGCAGCCATATTGGCATTTTTTTTTTCTTCCTCCAGAAATCAGCTACTTCACTTTCTGGCACTGGAGTAAACATTTATACATTAAAAAGGAGATATAAGACAAGTTCTTTCATAAAAGACTGCATAGTTACTATGTCAACACAGGTAGCAAGAAAGCTGTGTTGGGAAAGAGAGATAAAATAATTAGCACAAAAAACCCAACAACAAACACACACAGTTGAAAAAGTTGTGTTGTGTCTATACCCATTCAGAAATCTATAAAAATACCTAGAATGAACAAATTCCACATCCATGGGCTCTGAGCTGTAAGTCTGTTCAAAGTCTGGATGTAGTTTAAGAGTAACATCTTCATTATGAATCTGTTGCAAAGATTACAAAAACAGGTCAATTTATGGGAGCATTCAGTAATTTATGGAAGTACCTTTGAAAACATTAAAAAAAAAAAAACCACACACACAAAACTAGATTTACTGTCAATATATTACAATATTTAAAATATGTTTGTAGTGCTTTCAGAGCAGATAAAAGTTATCATCTATAGAAAAAAGGGAAGCCTAAAAAGTCTTAAAAACAAAAACCCCACAACCATGGGTCACAATAAAGAAAAAACCTAAGTAGAAGCCTACACTAGAGTGTAGATAAAACAGCACAAACAAAACCAAACAAAAACCCCACCACATAGCAGCTTTATGAAACAAACCAAACCAAACCTTGTAATGACCCCAGCGTGGCCACCATGAACTGCTGCTTCCCTTTAGAACTCCAGTGATCACACTATTTCCCAACAGGAGACACAGCTCACTTACCTCTGTAATATAGGCTACATACTCTACTACATGCTCACAGTAGATCTGACTTTTCAGTATCACCTTATCACCTAAGCAAAGTTAAAAGGCAACATACAGTTACTACAAATAGTCAAATTCTCACTGCAACATTTTCTTTCTTTTTTTTTTTTCCCCTCTTCATTTGCAATGGTTAAGCTAGGATATTAAGTAAACTTATATCCACATCTATGAGTAAATTAGCACTTCATTTAGACCCTAGTTCTGAACTGGAATGTGAATTGTGCAATACATTTCCAAAGCACCTAGACTGTAGGTTACGTGATCTTGAATGCTTACCAAAAACAATATCCTGTAAATAATGATATTTGAGATTCTAAATTCAATTTCAAATCCTTTCCTTGCTTCTAGTTTTGAAACACCTCTTGCCTCCTAGTCATTACTACAGTGCACAGCTTGATTTTATGGCAAGTCCTTCTAATTCTTGTACATGAAAAAATCTGAAGACCTCAGAACAGTATTGCAGACACATGCAGTGCTTCCTCACACAGCAGCCACTGCAGTGAGACACCAGCGACACAGTTCACGTTTTTCATAGCTTGGATTAATTTTGTGTTCAAATATGTGACACACTGCTTTAACAAGCAGTAACACACTGTAGTTTGTATCGCACTTAAGATACCAATCAAGATGCTGTTTGGCTTCATTTCACACTAATCGTTACCTATGTTCAAGGAGGGTCTGCCTTCTTCCACTCCCGGCACTTCCAAAACCAAAGAGCTTCCATTCCTTTTCAAAGTAATCCCACTCATGCTGTAGTCTTTTATCTCCATTTCTGCATGGATTTCTTCAAGCCACAAGAGAGTAGAGAAGTTTGCTTTATAATTATCTAGATTAAGATGCTGAAAAACAAAACGGCATGTGTTACAACTGTAGCTTCTACTCAGATATGGGCCCCATTGTTCTACATGTTCTACCAATAGTGTTTAGTCTATGGTGTAAGCAGACGGATGTGACGTTGTAAACCTAGATATATAACACCTTGTTTCCCATCAATAAAGGCCATTTGCCGTCCACCACATTGCTGTCAACTAGCTGATAGCCCGTTTGGGGGTGGTCGCTGTGCCGTCCCTGAACCAGGTCGCTGCACCCATTTGAACTGCAACATACCAAACAGCTCTTTAGACAGACTGCACAGTAACCAGCTCAATTAATTAAGGTACCAAAATACAGTTGTTATCTATCAGACAGCTGTACTTTTAAAACACCTATTGTGCTCAGAATTTGCGGGATTCATATAGACCTTGGAGGCCACGCATAATAGCCAGCAGTCATCTGAAGAGTTAACTGGGTCTCCCCTGAGTACCATAAGAGTTTCAGCACTTAGATGCAGGGGCCAGTCTGTAATCTGAATTCTGTGCTCAACAGTCACAGAATATATTAAAAAATAAAATAAAATAAAATAATAAAAAATATCTAAGCATGCCGGGCAGACATGGGTGAACAGCTGAAATCACATCAGTCTCTGGTGTGTCTCATGTTTATGATTTATGACAGACCTGAAAGTTCCTAAACTTTCTCCCTCAGAGCCTAATGCATCTTGCTGAACACATTCTCCAGCAGCAGAAACACAGCACTATCTAAACAATGACTAGGAAAGAAAAACAAAACAGAACAAAAACATCCCACACAGGATTGCTGCCCTGCTAACTCACTGCAAACACCTCATTTCTATTGCTTTGGCCAAGATGTTCCAAAGACAAAGCATTTGGCCTTTACCTGTTATTTGACCCTAGTCCTTAAGCAAAGTGAGTGGCTGCAATGTTTCCTAATAGGAATCAAAACCTACTGCTCTGGAGAAAGGATCACTAATATTTTTATTAGACTTCTGATCCTCTTGTTATATATTCTGAAATTGCAGGATATACATACTTGCAGGAAGAGTGTGGTGAATTACACTTGAGCATTAACAAAACAACAACTTCAGCAACTCTATTTCATAGAAGATAAAGCAGGACTACAGTTACGATACCAAACACCTTCTGAGGATGTCTAAATACTGACTTTGTTCAGTATGTTGTCATATTGCTCTGCAGTGTATTTCCAATACCTTTCATTTTTTCCACATTTAACCTTTTGCATTCACAAAACTTTGGATTCTGTTAAGGGATATATATTAAAACATGAAACTTCTTGGTTTTAATAAGTATAACAGAAACAAAAGGAAAGCTACACCTTTTATTAAATTAAGGCCAGCACGAATGCGCCACCTACGTAAGTATATTCTACCTTATATAAATAAACGCTTGCATACTTCTGCAAGGAGGGGTTGAAAAGTCAGTATGTCCAACTTCTGCTCCACACACTTTCTTAATCCCTCTGGTATAGTATAATGTGGAAGAAAGCTCGGCAACTGCCTTCTGCAATTTCTAAAACAAAAGAAATATGCCATATCATCTAGCATTCTCAAGTTGTATGTGCCAAGCACCTACTTAGCAAGCCCTACCACCAAGGATATGAAAAGACACCGTAACCTCATGACAGTTAGCAGCATGTACACTGAGAAGAAAGGCAAATGCTGTAGTTACAGATTACTTTAAAATATCAAGTACACTGCTACATGCAGTTTAGAGATACTTTTATAACTAAGTAAATACTATATGTATTGTGAAAGTTCATTTGCAAAAAAAGAGTTCTTCCAAATAAGAGATGTTCCCATTCACAAAACAAGTGAATCAGATACCAGTTGGTAAGTTGCTTGAGAAGTTATTTAAAGAAATTACTCTCAGAAAATGATGTTTTTTTTTAAATGACACTAACCACTGTTATTTGCACCGCAGAATAATCTAGCTCTAAAAAGTTTATCCTGCATTAGACAGTGGAAAGAGCTCCTATATAAAAAGGTCTATAAAGAAATTCCTAGGTATAAGAAAAAAAAAGAAAGAAAAAGAAAAGTCACTTTGTCAGTAGAATCCAGTTATTATCTTGTTTACAACGTACATATATAATGTACAAAGACTCTCACTTTGCATTTCCTTTGTCAGCATTACAAAACAGACATTTATTAATATTGTGTTTAGCATTTTGTGTTTAATATTTAATGTGTTTATGTATTAATTGTGTTTAGCATTGCTAACATTTTTGGCTCTAATTCATAGTACCTTCTGTAGTTAGTTGCAACCACTGTTGTCTTCTTTTGCTGAGGTACTGCGACAATATTAAGCTTTTTTGGAGAAAATGGTTCCACAGGTGCTAATTTTGATTCTTCTTCACTTGTTACAGTGGTTTCAATATAGCGTCCAATAACAAAATCAGAAAAAACAAGCAACAGGAGCTCCTTATTGTATCCAGGGTTTCTTCAAGCAAGCAAATGGTAGGCTGTTAAAACCATGATATTCACACTTCCTAACATGACCTAGCCAGCCTAAAGCCAGCCTGGTTTTATCTACGGCACATTGGCTCAGTACATAAACATTTTCAGGGTCTACAGCCTAAGTGCAGAAGTCAGCAAATACTTGTTAAATCTTCATGCTGCTTTCTATGGAGTTACATTGATCATTTTGTACTATTAGAAGTTTCTCAAATTTTGTGACATTTACAGTTCTACAGCGATAAATTGTTCATTTATATACATGCCGTTCTCCGCAAAGGTATGCCCTGCCTAGAGTTTACCTTGGAAACTGGAGCTACATAGTTCTCCTACACGAATTTCAACTCTCTACTTCACCACTTAAAATGGAACAAAAGTAATCTGAAAGTTGCTCTGAAAAATGAAAAAGAGCGACTTTGCTTTTCTCTGTCCAATCTTTAAAAAATGATAAGGATCAACAGATTTGGTACGATGAGTTTGTGGAGCTACAGCTTCAACTACCCAGAAGTATATGAAAGAAAGCTTTCCAGCACAAGGTTCCCTCTTGAAATCTGAAGAGGGTCACAAAAATTGATGCCAAATATTTTCAGTTCTTAATGATTTAAAGAGATACTTTGTACAGCAAATTACTTCTGTTTTTCAAGGGTTTTCTAAGACCTTCCCCCTATGAACAACACTTTGATGGAAGGAAAATTTTTTTTCCATCCCAGCACAGCTGATTGGCATTCAGCATCATAGGACAGAGAAGTTAAGAAATTTGGACAGGGACCTGAAGATGATTTCAGGGTGGTGAGACTGAAAGAAATACTAGACAGAACAGAAATCCCCAGCAAATCTACACTAGCTATACTGCTCATGGAGCAGCTGGTTTTCCAAATAGAATATAACCAGCTGCAGCTATTTTCTTCATCTTCTTTCAATTTCTACCAGAGCTAACTACTCCCACTGTATTTCTTCAGTTACTGTTGCTGCCATTTTCTTGGGACAACAACCACCACCAAGTATTAAAAATGCTAGTTACTTTCAAGCTCTAATATTGTATCTCTACATAATTTGCTAACATATACTTAATATTACGCCAAAGGGGAAACTGTGGCACTAATCAGGGAAATATTGAGTCAGTTTAAGATTTATTCCCACTATGCTAGTCAGAACCAATAAATACTTACGTGGCAGTGCATACAACCTCTATAAATGCTTTTCCACCTGGCGGTATGACGGTTTGTCCAGTAGCATCAGCCTCATTTATCAACTCTTCTTTTGCATCTTCTCTTTGCTCATTTACCTCATTATGTAGATTTTTATTGTCTACCAGGGAAAATTTTTCCTTTTTCCTTGATAAATTGGGATCCTGAGAATAATCTTCTTCTGTAGTAGACAGATTATGATGGTTCTATCATCACAATTGCTATAGCTAGCACAGGCAAGTTTCCTCAAGAGAAGCAAAAGCAAAACAAAACAAACAACCCCCCCCAAACCAGGCTTCTGAGGAGTTAAAATGCTCAGTACTGCAGTATTCAAATGTTAAAACATCACTCTACCTTGAATGATTCCATTCTTCGCAATGGATGCATTATTCAATGACTCATGTGTTGTTCCTCTGCTGTCACTATATGAATTAATTGCAGCTTTTGAGACTTTCTCTTGATTTATTGGAAGAGATGACAGATATGCTGCTGAATTATTCTGGCATCTTTGAGGAATTCGAAAATTGAATTGCTTGTCTTTTACCCATCCAGCTAGTCTGCAGCTGATTAAGGACTGTGGTATACTCCCTATATTCCTGTAAGCAGTAACGGAATTAATTATATAACTAAATGCATAGTTAATGTTCCTGGGAAGTATAATTCTACCTGGAGTAAAATACAACAGTCTACGGTAGGTGGGTTCACCACTATTTCATAAGCACTATTTTTTCTGAAAGAAATTGAGTAAGTTTAACTCAAGAGAACTAAAACCTCTACTAGATATTAATACTTACAAGTCATATCAATTACCATAGAGAGTACCACACAAAAGAATCAACATTAACTATACGGAAATACAGTGTATTAACCCAAACCAAACACACCAACAAGAAGAAACTTGTAATTTAAAATTCATCATATGAAGCTAATCTTTAGAAAGAAATAGCAAAATGGAGGCCATTCAGGTCTGATGCCTCTACGCCCAGAAGTTGAACGAAACAGCCCCCCTCACCCCTCCCCCAAACACACAAATAAAACAAGCAAAAATGGTCTGCTTTTACTGTGCAAGTACGTAGCAGTCTCCTTGTCCTAAGACTTGGTCAGCACAGCAGATCTGTAGCTTAATTTAAACATACCCACACAAATAAAAGCATTTATTAGTCCTCAATCTAGAAATGATTTTTAATTAGGACTGAAACAGGAGAACCTTAGAGCACTATCTGTAAGATATCTGCTCATTACACCTGACACAAAACCCTCCTCAATTCCATTTTTGGGAGGTTGCCCGAAGGTTATAAACCATAAGGACCAATATGGGAGGCTTCCGTCTGAAACACAGGTGCACAGACTACAGCATGGTGGAAAGACAGAAAGCTTAAACAACTGAAAGGGCTTACTCTATCCCAATGATCATGCTTTTAGTTTCCCCTTGCTTCAGAGTTCCAAAATTAGTCATTTTTGACACCTCCAAACCTCCTTTGTCTTTCATTAGGTTTTCGTAAGGCTCATCCAGATTCACTCCATTAGAGTGAGATAGTCTGTAAGAAGACAGAATTATCTACAGTGATTTTGAAACACAAATAGACTCAGGAAATATCTTCAATTCAGCACAAGTTTGGAAATTACTGGACTAAAACATTGCCCCAGTATTTAAGAGGAAGCAGGTCAGATGGAATGCTCAGCCACTTTTATTTCCAAAACCATTTGGTTACCTTTACTAGCTTAGAAATTGAAAAACAAGCCTTTCTGCAGCAGCACAGTAAGCCAGGGCCAAAACTTTGACTACAAGATTAAAGCAATCCAGCTAGTTGGTCTTTGCTACAAACAGAGCCAAACAGCAAACGAAGCATGTAGACCTGTGGGTCTCTTTGAGAGCTGAACCAAAACACAACAAAGAGCTAGGTGCTTCGCAAAAGCCCTGCTTAGTACTGGAGCTTAGGAGATGAGTAGACTGGAAAATGCTGGCGAATTTCTGTTCTCTGATGTTTGAGCTAGTACCCAAAGCACCTGCTTATCACCTCTCCTGCCTATGGCTACAATCTGAAGCCATAACTTCAGGTAAGTGAAAAGAGCTGAAAAGCAAGACACTACTGTACATGGTGCTGACAAAAAGAACACTACCAAACTGAAGCCACACTCTTCCTTGAGGCAGTGACTGCGGCCAAACTCTCAGTCACAGCCACCTAAAGAACACTGCAATGCTTTTGTCCTACAATTAATAAGCTACTCAATTAGATAATACAATGGCACTACAAAACTTCAAAACACTTTAAAAATATCTCCATTATTTACATACCCTAAGTACTCCTTAATTACCTAAGGCAATAACTACACCAGAGCTTACTCTGAAAGCCCACTAGGTGTCTCCCGCTGCAGTTTACCTTGCCTCAGGTTTTGATAAGCTAGAATATACAATAAAATTGAGACAAGCATAAGGTCTAACTTTTATGATTTGGTTTCAGTAATAGTTTGTGTGGCTAACCTACCAGTGATTCAAAATAGGTCCAAATGGAAAAAACAGATCAACAAATTGTACAGTTGTGTAAAAGGAAAAACCTGAAGGTAAAGTTTTGTACTGCACTTGCCACTGCACATGATTTTCATTAGTGTAGCACCATTTTGTAATGACTCACTGCTGAAGAGCTTTACTTGAGATGTGTTTTACAACCCTGAAAGGCCGTCCAATTTCTGGCTTGGCATGTGGCAGAGAAAGGCATAGGCAGCTATACTAAAATGACTCCTGACAAGATTGTCCTGACCTGTTTCTAAATTTCAGAGGTAATTCCATAGACCCCTTTCAAATTCCAACACAACAGAACCTCTTTCAGTATTTCTCCTTCCTATGAGAAGGAATCAGGTTAGACATTAAACATACATATTTATATCTAGGTACAACTGAAGCCGCTTATACACTACATTATCTTCAGTGAAAAGATAGAGCTTATTTCATTATTATTAGCTCCTTTGAAGATCCATGTACTGCCTTTAACCATCTTTCCTAGCATTGGAACAGGGAAAGTTCACCCAAAGATTATGGTTTCCAGATATGTGGATAAGTGTCCTGCTCTTTTAGACTCTCCCCCCTACTTTTTTGGGGGGAGATGGAGGTGGGGTGGGGGACTGTGTTTCTTCCCCAGATTGAGTATCTATTTCTTCCAACCTCTTACGCCTTGGTCCTCTTTATACCAAATTAGCCATCCAAAGCCCTTGCAGAACCTCTCAATTTGATTGTATTTGCAAATCTAGCAAATCTCTGTTATTTCAAATCATTAAACTGTTCTGTTTAGGACAGATCTGATCTGAAGAATCACTCAGTATTCTCCTCCTGAAAAACTACACTTCAGCAAAACAGATTACAGGAAACACCCATTTCACAACTATTCCATTACAATAATTTGATACAGTTTTCAAGCAGTGAAGTTCTTGCTAGCAGAATAGCACAGATTAGAAAAAACACAAAGGATTACAGGCTTAGTTTTTTTTTTTTCTAATGAAACTGCAAAATTCCTTCCTTGCTCCATCACTGAACTCCACTGATGCTGGCTTTGCTTTTCTAGGGAGTATGGACATTCCCGTCCCCTCAAAGGAACGCGGGGGGAAAAAAAAAAAAAAAAAAAAAAAAAAGCAGGCGCCAAACATATCACTCTATAATCTTCACATTATTTGTCATGCTTTCTAGACAGTGCAGAGCACTAGACCACAGTATTACTTAAAACCGAATGTTTAACTACAATTTATCCCTAGTTTTTAGCAAGTAGAAAGAACAAGAAAATGAATGTTACCCATTCCGATCGACGGGAGTCAAACAGAGAGCTCTCCAAATATAACACGACTGATTACTTTCCACCACAATCACATTCACTAGGTCATGCACACAAGGCGAATAACCATCAGGAAGCCTCACTGAATCCAAAGTGAAAAATATACTCTCATCTATTGTACCATGTCTTCCACAGATGCTGGAAATACGAACCTGTAACAATTTGTTATAGTCTTACTTGATATCCATACTTAAGCTAAAAGGCCTACTAGAAGTACACTGCTTTCTGCAGCAGTCATTCTACCATCATGCATTAAGAGAACTACAATCTAAATTTCAGTTATTTGAGGGAGATAAATAAGCACAACTAATCTGTCATAACTGTATTTCTCTTTAGATAAAAAAACAAGACACAAGAAAGAATCATTTCTGATAAGCATTAGCTTCCACTTAAGCATATGCTTACATTTTATACTTGTAGGCACATACATTTGACTTTATTGTGATACTTGTACTTACAAATATTTATTTCACTTCTAGCCATCACAACAGAAAGGAAAAACTTTCTTGTGTTTGACAAGCAGATATTATTCAATATATAAAATTGCCAAACAATAAGTCATATAGACAATATATGTATACATAGGGGAACAATTATTCATTTTTTATTCTACTAAAAATTTTAATACAAAATACTTGGTTAAATAGCATTCATACAAGAACTTTCCAGTCTTTAAGCAATTTTAGCAAATATTTCTAAACAAACAAAAAGCACAAAACAAAAAAACAACAAACAAAAAACTTGAAAACCCACAACTAAAAAACACAGCAAGCATCTAAGTTAACAACTGATAATCAATAAGTAGCAGTTATGCATTGTGCTCTAAACAAAACATGTATGCTTTCTAAAATAAGCATCATGTAAAAAAGAATCCTATAAGTGGGTCAGTATATTTTAATTAAAGGTATATTATAAAAGGTATTATAAAAGGTCTAGCAATATCAGCACCCCAAAACATCTGCTCATCGCAGAAGACTTATTGCCAAAACTAACATACAAACACCCACCTTGTCCACTCGCTTGTATCTCAAAGGCTTCACAGCAACCGCTTCACTGCTCCATGTTGCTGGGTTAATAAAATATTTAGCTTGTACCCAGTCACCTTTATAAGGTTCAAAACCTATATAAAACAAAAATTTTCAAGTTTAAGTGCTATAGAAGGCATTCAGATTACTCCCATATAGAATATGTTTAAGTTAAAAACTGACCAGCCAGAACAAGTCAGATTCAGCAAATCTTTTCTGTGCTTTCTATCCTCAGTATGTTATGTCCAAGTATCTAAGACATGCCAGCGAAAAAACACACATTTGGTCCTGGCGTGAGTAAGTTATGCTCAGTGAGAATGGATACATAACTTTCTTGACCCAAATCCTTTCACTCATACACTTTTCAGGCATGTGGGATACATATTTATCAGAAGACACACATATATGTATATGTATAATAATATACCAGACATATATAGACACCCTTGATCAATCAGTGTTTTCACATTGCACATACCCTTGACACACAAACAAGAAAACCTCTACATACCTTCACAAACAGATTCCATCGCAAAAAAAGTTTTCTGATTAATGTAGCCACCATCCTTGGAGAGAAAGGTAATATTACCAATTAGGAGTTTTGTATTATTTTCAGAAGCACCGTAAGTAGGACTGGAGTTTTCCCATGCACTGCAGACTGCTTCTACCTATTAATATGGAAAGAATAACACCACCACCATTTAAACAGCTATTACTCCACATGTTTATTCTATAAAGTATTGTTACACATATCAGTATTACAAACACCAGAATTTCAACTGCTTCCAAAAGCCATGTCCCTTAGTAGACAATTCTACTCCCTCTTCAGATATTCACTAGGTAGCAAAGGTAGTAGTAGCAGGTAGTAAATGTAGGAGCAGGTAGTAAAATGTAAGTTACTTGCCTTTTAAGTAGTATGCTATATGGTTTAGCCCTGGCAATTAACAGAATTACATGCCGATTGGTCAATTTCTCATTATTCCTCTTGCTGTAAATGTATCCTAACATTTATCTTTAACCTGACAAGAGGAACTTCCTCCCAAAACATAACAATCTGATTTTATAGGAGTGGAACTAGAGCATCACTCCTGAAGAAAACAGGATGCATGTGTTCAATATACTGCTAAAAATATTACAAGAGAGCTGCTTCTTACAGGCTGGCTCTCCAGATTACCATCTCAGAAGCAAGTTCACTTGCTTAAGCAGCCCTGTGCAGAACATAAGCCAGAAGAAACCATTTATGTGATGAAAGGCATTATCCCAGCTGTGTGGGGATAGTGCTACAGCATCTCTTTATTACTCCATAAACACTGTAAGAGTTCCTGAAGCAGCTAGATCTCCTCCCTGCCTTCGAAGAGCCATCATCATCTTGGGATCAGGAGTTTCTGTTCTACAAATCTGTCACCTTTATCCTTCGAAGCTTCCTTGCTCCAACTAGGAACCTTTAAACTCACTTCCATAAAGCAAGTGATTATGCCTGGACAATGTGGTCAGCTGCCTAAAATATCTCTGACATATCAAAACCAGGACTGGACACAAAAGTGAGTCATGAAGAATTAGAACACTATGTATTAAACAGTATAGGATTTTTGACTTCCTTTCCCCAGACTTTATGGGATCATTTACTAATAGAACACAGTATTAAAAAAGTACTTGTTAATGATGAAGTCTTCAATTACTCATACTGTAGCAGTTTATTAGCAAGATTACCAGAAACATTAGGATACTTATCTAAAATTTTAGTCCTGAGGCCCTTCTGTTTGGCCTTTAAAAATAATGCGAGTTGAGAAGAAACTTAATTCTAAAATACTTACAAGAAAATAAAAATTAACTTCTAAACTACAGAGCTGTAGTTGCAGAGTTGCAATTGGCTCCAAACAGGTAGCTTGAGTCCAGCTAGAACTACTTGCTTTGGCATAAGTGTTTTGTTCAGAGTTTATTGCCGAATGCACTAGTCCAGTGCTGAGCTCACAGAATCACAGAATGCTTAAGG